GTTTAGGGTTTAGGGTGATAGGGTTAAGGTCTTATGTGCACTCAAAACAACGAAACTAAAGGCCGCCAACCGCGGCAAGACGGGCTGGAATCAAAAAGAAGCAGACATACATATAGTCTTCTACTAGTGAGAACCAGAAGTAGAACATGATCAACCATGGCAGTAGCAGTGTTGACAAGAAACATATGTCAGGCAGCCTTAATGACGAGTATTGATGCCATGACGAAGCAGTAAAAAAAAACTTCATGCAACCATGCATCTCTTCACACTTACATACAAATGCCCTGTGTATGTGTGTATGTGTGTATGTNNATGTATGTATGTATGTATGTAAGCAATGTGTAATGTGTGGTGCCATGTATGGGAAGGTACCGCAATCCATGTAAGGCAATGTAAGGTACTTTACTGTGTAAAGCATTACTGCAATATTGTAAGCATGGGTTCGCGTAAAGCCACCGATTTATTCGTAGTTACGGCCATAACGGTTATGGCCTAGTCCAGGTCTGGGTTGGCTTCCACAACAGGGCCCGAAAGACGGTGTGAGGGCCTCCACAACAAGGCTTAACCACCACTTCGCAACTCCTGGATTTGGGGGCTGGGCCAAGTTCAGACAGAAATCGCGAGAACGAGGCTTTCCTAAACTCCCGATGCTTCAAGCCTAAAGCCCTGATGCCCATACGCTCCCCGACCGCGCAGTCCAAGGATAAAGCCCAACTCCTAGAATCGTCCTCTAACCCCGAAAATCTGCCCCACCCGACGTCCACCCGACGAGCCCCTCGAAACTCGAAACTTCACACGGCACGAACAGTTCATGGAAGTTAGGTCCCTCGTTTGGAGCTTGGGGCTATGGTGGTCCTCCGCATTTTACCAACACGGTTTGGGGTGGATGGCTTTCGGGAGAGCGTCTCAGTTAAAGGCGCCAGCTGTTGGGGCTTGGTACGGCACTGCACTCAACAAGAAACGCACGTTTCGAGACGACCGGCTACGTGACGGTTCTGCAGCTTAAATATTCCCAAGCCATTACAAATCATTACAGCTTGCAGTCATGTGCAATGAACGCATCGAGAGCTGAATGAAAGCTCAACACCCATTATCGTCTTGCGTTTGGAATTTCTGCCTGGCTTGCTGTTTCTGTTTTGGCCTGCCAGAAGGTGCCCCACACGGTAGGCAAAGCCGGGAGCAGCTGCAAGGTGAATGTTGCTGCAACGACAGAACACACAACACTAAACTCCTAATCTGCCACGTATGCTCGTGTTCCGATTCGTCTTGGAGTCTTTAGTGCTACTCGCAGATGTTTTGCGGGGAGTGGCAGAAGGAGAGCGGAGTTTTGCTAGAAGTACTGGTTGCAATCGTTTTTGTCACCCACTCGTCGTAGTAGTAGTAGTAGTAGTAGTAGTAGTAGTAGTGGTGGTAGTTAGCAGCAGCAGCAGCAGCAGCAGCAGCAGCAGCAGCACCGGCA